AAATCTGTGTGGCCAGTTTTAGAACAATACTTTTTCAACGCGAAAAGATGACGAAGAAAAAGACTTCTGGCCATTGTTGGTTAAGCAAGTTGCTTCGTAATGGAGTAAAACTTCCTGCTGACGATTCACGATGCAGCATTCATTTGCGCAATCTCATCGCGAACGACGGTAGGAAATCTAAATACTTGCAACGTGATGATCACATGAGATATGAGATAAATGAAATCGAGATGATAAACAGTACTCGTTGCAACCGAATCGATATATCAAATGGTGCGTATTAATGGAAACTTCGTCCGAAAATTAATGGAGCATTATATGCAATTACTATTTTTTTTTTTCATTAACGAGAACATATCGCGTATCTTTTTTCAATTAAAATCGCGAACGGATATTGTAGAAAATACAGGAAATATATTAACATCTTTTCTACAAAAAAAATATGCATTTTTCTGTAAATCTATAGTTTAAAACAAAGTTATAAATAATAATCGAATGCAATACGAATTCTAAATAACAATAATGGAAAGGGACAGCAGACTGTGGGTACCATTGCCATTAAAAAGATCCGCCGTGAGGTAAAACAAATTACAGCGTGCAAGAATCGTAATTAAAATACGCGTTGCGGGTTCCGGAAGCAATAAATGAAGGCAGACGTTTGTTGCGTGTCCGGCATTTTTACCGCCAAAAAAGGATCCGCATTTACGCTCAATGGTCATTTTCGCGGAGTTTTCCGCCTAAAATTTCCCACCGAAGAGAGAGGGATCGCTAATTATCGACAATGGGAACGCGCGTTAAGGATCCTTTCGCTCCCGTCGTCGTCCCTAATAACGCAACGCGTCGACTCGCTTTTACGGTGACGGGGCGTCCGTTAAAAAACCGCCGCGGCTCATTAACTGGCGCCGGTTGCCGGTTCACCCCGCCACTGGTTTCCGCGGAATACATTTTTCCGGGGACCGCGCGCGTGAACAGCGTAATAACCGTAATCAACGCGTATCTCTTTCTCTCTCTCGCGAATAACGACACGATAAACTGCCCCGACCGCTGACGCGACGGGCGGTACGGTTGCGGCGGTTTTCCCGTCGCCTTTCATCTCTCGTTTTTGCGACACGCGACCGGCCGCGGCAGGAAAATCTACGATGTGTACGCGATAACCCCTCGCGAAAGTTTCTTCCGGCGCGCTCCCCGTTCGAGTTTATCGTTTCTTGTGCGAAACTAAGAAGTCAAAAACATCACGAAAAGCAAACAAGACGATTATCACCGGATGATCTCATTTCAGTAAATATCGAAAATAGGAAACGCCCAATTTGCGACTGAAGATATTAACTACGGAAGAGTTGACTATATATTCGTCAATCTAGAATATCCTGATGAACAGATATTGCGACAGGTACTTACTAAAGACGGATATAGCAAAAAACGCAAGATATAACTTAATTACCCTCAAGCCTGTCATTAATATGAATGACGGATTCTTTGGTCATTTTTCAGTGCCGTCACTTAATATTCAACATCAAAGCATCTTGATAATTACGCTTCTACTTGGCATACAGCAAAAACTTTAATGCACTTTGCTTTTCGATAAGTCCTAGTTATATCTATTTATTACTCGATATTAATTAAATTAAGTTTTGAGAGCTTAATAAACTGCTCTTTCCGTGGTACCGTTTTCGTTGAAGAGCCAGAGGAAGTTCAGCAATGACGGATGGACCGGAGTTTCCGTGGACACGCGCATCTATCGCGCCGAGCATAGTCTCGGTGACGTACCAGAGAAATATTTCCCAGGAGGCTCGACGACGAGCGTGCCCGACTGACGTGACGAAGATCCGTACAATTACGCAGACGTAACATCAGCCACCATAATTTATATGCGCGCCGGACAGACCGCGACAATGAGACGACACGAAAAAAAAGGGGGGGGAAAGACGATCCATCGTCGTCGAAAAGAAGAGCTCGCGATCGAGAGTGACGGCATGTCGTAATTTATACGATGGAAACTGCGAAAGACCCGCTGAACTCTTTATCCGTCGAGCCATCACCCGACTTCTTTTTTTCTTTACTGACCCCGAGATCTTCATTGTTAAAAAAACGTAGAATGATCGCTCTCGTCGCTTCTCCGCTCACGTAGCAATATACCTGTCTATTGTGTGCATCGCACCTTCGCGTGAAAGCAATTTAAAATCGATGAATGTCGCATTTAGACCTTTCGATGAAAAAAAAAACACGTAAAAAAACAAAAAGAAAAAAAAAACAAATACATCCAAGTATTTGCTGACTAAACTAAATTATTTCCTTGAAACTTTCCCAAAATAAAAACAATGTCATAAAATTTGAATACCTAGGCTATGGTCAACGTGACGCTACAAATGCTTTGGAGAGTTCTTCTTCTCCTTCTTTCTTCATTGAAAGAAAAGAGAAGAGGAATTCTTCGAAGCATTTGTAGCGTCACGTTGACCATAGCCCTAGAGTTGCTTTTCGAATTCTCGAAAAGCAACTCTAGGGCTATGGTCAAATTTTCATTTCGTGATTATTCGGTTATTCAATATTCGTTGATGAGAGAATATGAACGAAAGTTACAACGCGTTAAATTAATCCATGTATCATTAGTCATCGTTGCGAAAATTACTGAGACGTTGCGCAAATCGATTAAAATCCACATACTCAGTCTCCGGGTTTATACCATAGAAAGGAAAACGACATGTCCGAGAAGAAACAGGTATCGTCCAACTAAAGTGTGAGACTGGAAAGTGAAACGTCCCAAGGAACGGTACTTTCCTATCATCCTTTCTCTGTTCTTCGCACACACACACACACTCGCTCGCACAGGCATACTTTATAAATCATATCGGTGAGCGGAACGCGACGGCGTAAAGTGGAAGGACAGGGTGAAGAGAAGAAAGGAAAGAAAGAAAAACGACGGAGAAACGACGGAGAAACGACGACGGTGCGACTCGATGAAACCGGACCGCGGTGAGAAGGAACGGGAGAAGACGGAAAGGAAGAAAGAGAGACGCGTCGCGTCGCGCGACGACCACCTCGCGGAGAGCCGGATCATAAACGAACGATCGAAACGAAAGGGAGAATATTCGAGAAGGAAGACGCGGTTTTCTCCTTTCGCTGCAATTTGTACGAGATCCTCGGCGGGCAGGTATAGAAGTCCGACCAAGTCCGGCCGAGGTCGAGCGAGCAATTTTGAGAAAAGTGATCGTGGATACGATGGATCGTCCTTGACTTACACAGGTACCTATACCCTTTTTCCACGAGTCCCTTTTCCTGTGGCTTGCACAAAGGCCACGATATATTGTTAGCGGAAGACCCTTTCTCAGGTGCGACGCATCCTGGGATGTTCCCGAGCGCTTAACAGGTGCGCGAAACGGACGTTTGTTCAGGTGCGATGTCGGAGGGCCTTCCTCGATTTCGTTGCCGAGAGAAGAGAACCGAGAATGCCAAGATTTCTTCCGTTCAGACACAAAAGATGCGATAAAAATCACGCGAGGTATCTCGAATAAAATCGCGAAAAACAGTTTAAAAAAAAATTAAATGGATCCGCGTCGTATGTTATTCGAAATGTTAGATATCGCGGAATCTCTCATCGTTTCCTTTTCTCTTTCTTTCCTTTCTTCCCTCTTGAGGTGACAAATAACTTTTTAAAATTATCATGAAAAGTTCTTTTAAAACAGTCTCGAAGAGATACACAAACAGCTTACTTAACTGGATAGCTTCCAAATGGAAGCGATAAAAATTCTGGGAAAGATAAAAGCAGTACTAAAGACAAAAATGTCTACTGCTAAGAAACTACGTCTACATTTCAACCTCATTTAAAAGATTGAAATTGTGTCGACCGTAAATCGAGTCACTTCGCAGTAGAACAATTCAAAATATAGACAATTAAATGCAATATATTAAAAATATATATAGACAATTAAATGCGATACATTAAAAATATGTATGGACAATTAAATGCGATATATTCAAAGTATGTCCGAATTTGATAGTACAAAAAATATATTTACAGTGGATCAAAAAAGTATTTGCACACCCAGTTTTCTTACACAATAATTTTATTCTGTATGTATAAATACGTATGTATAAACATGTACAAATACACATATACTGCATGTAATAAATCACTTATGGACACGATTCGTGCTTATGAATTATTCCTTCGAATAAAGTTATTGTAAAAAAACTGGGTGTGCAAATACTTTTTTCATCTACCATATATACGTGAAAATATTCAAAGATAATTTGCAGATTTCTTTGTATCATTTAAAGTAGTATCTCAGAGACGATCAAACTTCTCGAGATATGATTCACGTTCATCGCGAATTTGCCAACGCTAATGATTCATCGCCGACGAATTCTCGCACGCTTCCGCTCGCCGCGGCGCAAACGAACGTACGTGCACGAGAAACGGCATTCCGGTGAACGTGGAAAGCCACCGCGCCGTGTCGATCGCGGGATCCTGCAAGAATGGCGCGCTATAGGCCTCGCCGGAACGAAAAAAGGACGCGAACGAAACCAAACCGGCCGCGACGGTCAACGGTCAGCGGCCGTTTCGAATTCGAACGAACGCGCGACGCGACGCACCGCCGTAAAACGAACGAACAAACGCGACATGACGAGACGGGACGGGACGCGGCGCGACGCGTCGCGACGCCGATGGACGCGCGCCATTTCCAACTCAAATTCGAATTCGCGAGCGACGCTGAGAGCGTGCCCGAACTTCGCACAAAACTTCACATCGAATTCCAGAACGAGGCGACGCGGCGCGCGACGGTTAAACCACCTGCTGAGCGTAGTACTCGCTTGCCCGTCCCCGTCTCCGTCTCTTTCTCTCCCTCCGTCTACCTTTCTCTCTCGCGCTTTACACGTCGAGGTGCGGGCGGACGGTTACCTACTACACGAGCGAACCATGTGCGAGATTCCACGTACGACGGACGAGATTTTCCGCACCGGCGCCGGCGCGGCGCGTTATCGCGAATACTTTCCGCGCTTACCTGTTAGCTGCAGCAGAACGACGATCGCTATGCAGGTGGAACGTTCACGACGGGCTGCCATCGCGACGTGATCGCTGCCTATCTTCGCTCTCCCAGCAAGACAGTCCTCTCTCTCTCGTTCCTCACCACACCGTTCTTCGTTCTTTCCGCTCCTCTCCTCGTTTCCCGTTCACTGACACCACACGCGGATCGCGTTCCCCGAACTCACGATCGACCAGAGTGATCGAGGCGATCAAGCGGCGCGACGCATTCGAGCGATTTCTTCGACCGGCTACGATGGAACGTCGCGACGTCGCGCTGGCCTATCTCGAACTGTGCCGAGGAGCGGCGCGTACGCGCTCGGCACGACCTTCGGCCGCGCTCGGCCGTCTCCGGTCGTTCACGTGACGTGTCGGCAGTGTCGGCAGGCAGGCAGGCAGGCAGGTACATACATACGCCGAGCCGCGGTAGAGGGGAAGACGACGACCGTTTTCGCGCGCTCGCGCAACCTTCCAGCCGTACGAGTCGCTCGTGGCTCGAATATCCTGTTTTTCGCCGAATTTCTGCGACACCGGGATTCCCGGAATGTAAGTCGGTTACATATCTCCTTTCGATCCTCCTAACTGCGAACGAATACACATGATTCCGACGAGTTCGCGTCTCCGTACTCCGGATGCGAATTGCGACGCCAAAATTCCGGGCGGCATGACAACGCAAAATGGCGAATCGTGAAATTGTCGCCCCGCTTGCCTACGCGGCGACTTGTACACCTCGAGCATTATTCGATTGAGAATTGAATCGCGTGCGAAGCGTGGCGAAGTGACGCAATTTGTTACTTAAGATTAGGGATTAAACCGTACACGTTAGTTGAACATTTCTCACATCACGTACGGGCCCAATATTGGACGCGCTACCCTCCGCGGGCTCCATATATCGACTTTTTCCTAGATCGGCCATTTATCTTCCCCGCTACGGACGTCGTTGCATCGCACGCTCGTAAACACGCGGGCGTAACACTTTCCCAAACGAATATAAATCTCTCGCGGCGGCGGCGAGGGATTTTTGTTTATAGGATATATGTATACAGCAATCTTGTTTTCGGAATTTGTTTCGCTCTATGTTCCCGCCCGCATATGCAAAAATCGGCGATTTATGGCAGCGGCTTAGCCAGTCGCGGTGTATGTACACGCACACGCACGCACGCACGCACGCACAAGGTATCGATGCAATATACTCTAGTGATAAAAAATGAGCGCTATCTAATCTGTTTGGCAGGGCAACGCGGAACAAGATTGATAGACCGAATAACCGTTGGCTTATTAACTTCGGAGAAATGAAGTAAATTGAAGTGAGATTACAACATTAAACAAGAAGGGAAATGAAGCATAATATATAGTAATGTAGATCTGAATGCTGATTCAATTTAGATTGGCTCTTAATAACGTTATTGCGCGAATTAATCGCCGGAGAAGTCGACGCGCGCGCGAATACACCCCTCTTTCATCGCCATTATGTCACGTGCCTTAAACGTCGTAATTTAACGAATCCCTTCCCACCAGATTTATGACGCGCACGGTGAGGTTTCCTCGCGCACCCGACGATCGTCGTCGTCGTCTTCGTTTAAGATCTCGAAGATTGATAGCGTATCTGTACCGTGTGCTGTAAATTCACGCAAATATTGCCGCGGCGCTAATGATAGGCCCGTAATTACGACTCTTGTGTATGCAATTACTTGGAAAGCTTACGGCGCGCGAACGGCGTGGCTTATTTCGAGTTTACACGCAGACGCGCCTGATGGAAATAACCGGAAAGTCGACAATTTGCTGGAGAAAGAATAACAATCTCGTCTCATTGTCGGAGAGGAAAGGTCCGATTTTATTTAAGTATCATATCTACCGAGCACAAAAACATCACCTTACAAAGATTTCGTTCGGAAATCTATTTATCGAGAGCGAAGCTAATTGCTAAGTTATTATAGATTTGTTTTTTATTGCTGCATTGGACCGCATTGGAACGCCCCTTTTCGCTTTCATCAAATTTCAAACAGATATTTATTTTAAGTACAGAGAGTGTATACTAGTTCAGGTATAAAAAAAACAGATCTAATGATTCATTAATCTCACATTGTGCTGGATCGATCGACGCGAAGTGGCCGCCGATTCGTCGCGTTATACGTGACGTCATAGCCGAAGCTCGTAAGGTGACGCTGCTCCGACGCAGCCTCTCGAGTGTCCCTCCCCCTTTATTTCGAGAAGTATACAAACTTCATCACCGGTTACGATCTCCACCTCGTCTTTCTCTCAAGAGGGCCGTCCTTTTTCAAATAAACTCGTCGGCCCTCGCGTGCTTTCCGGGTTGGATACTTGGTTGATCTTTCGTGACGCGAGGAAACGTATATAGTTGTGTTTTCCGACGATGATTCTGAGAGATGGTGAGAAAGCGAGAGAGGTGCAGACAGTAGACGCCTCGCTTGTTTATCATTTGTCAGCGGTCTATTTACACCGAAGGCGAAGTGTGCCACAATCTTGCGGACAGGGAATGTTCTCACGTCTTTTTCCCGTAACGCGAAGTCGAGTGGTGACATTCGCGTTGTCCTTTTGTGACGTCCATCGTATATTGATCGATCGCCTGGCAATAAAAAGGACTTGGCTCGTTAGGGGACAATTGACGCGATTAAGTCGAAAATTGAACGTTTTTATTAAATTGCTGGACGGGAAAATAGAGCTGTCGTAAAAGCATCATTATGTTACAAATATGATCGCGCGCCGTAAGCTCTCGTTTTTGGAGTAATTATATACAGGAGAGACATAATTATGGATCTATCGTTTAATACCGCGGCAACATTTGCGTGAATTTGCAGCAAAGGTCAATTAATCTTCGACTATTGCCGCGCGAAAGGTCGTGCAGAATTAATTAAATGTTATCCACGATTATCCGCCATTATTTTAAAGTTTGTATCTCCAGCATTGTTTACAATTCATTAGTAAGAAGGCGAAGGTGCTTCTTGCACGACTAATTCGTCCGGGATAAAACGAGCCGCGTCTGTTAAGATGATAGATCGTAATTCTCGCGCGACGCCTGCTAAAACAGGGCGTAAGGTTTTATCTCGTCTTAAAGCTGCCCTAGAAAATCCGTCACGCTATTCACTGGTTTTCTGACGACTTAGCAAGCACCAGAAAGTGGATCTCGTTTCGCCAAAGTGCGCAACTCTTTCCGTAACGATGGATATTTCGTGCCATCGTTATTTTAATAACAAAACTGAGTAGCAACTTAATAACTTTGTTAATGATTCGTGAAGCTTCAAGATATTCAAGATATTCGCGGTACAATTATTTCCAGTATCTTAAATATGACTTGAGAGAAAGGAATAGAAGACGATTTTTAAAACTAATTTCTGTGAACGATATCAAATTATTTTACAAGTTTTATTGTGTATTACTATCTATACATTTTTTTAATTAAAAAATCATTAAATTTTTTAAATCAAACATAACTCAATTAGTGAAAAAAATTGTAGAGAAAAAAATTATAATTTAAATTTCTTATATACATTTACTTTTATTATAAAGTATGTGGAAAAATATGCAAAAAATTTTTAATGAATTGATATGAATCCATGTGCTTTCTTTAAAATCAATTCGCCAACAAATTATCCGGTCACGTTTCCGTTTAATTGTCCTTGCAATCTTCTGTTGCTGCGCTTTGCAACAACAGAGACTAATAAATGCTCTTGTTAGATCAACAATTCTCGCATACATTGGGACTAAAAGCGAGATAGGGAATAGGAGAGTGTGGGCGAGCCGAAAGAATAGATGTCAGAGACTAAATGAATAAGAGCGACAGAGAAAAATACCAGAACGACTGAAAAGCCGAGCTAAATAACGCCTCGAAACGCCTGTATTTTCCCTCTAGTAGGTTTGCGAGCGAGCTGGTTATTAAACACTTAAATCTTCCTCGGTGCATAAAAAAGCGATGCCGAAAGCCCGCAGGAACAATAAGCGGGAGGAGAGGCAGATGGGAGATGCGAGAGATAAATTTATGAGGGACAAGAGCGATGCGGCGTTTCTGTTCCTCTTCAAAAGCGATTGCTACTAAACTAAATATTTATTCCACCATCTTTCGCCGACGACGGGCTCTTCACAATAAACAAATAGAAATATTTCGTTTCATCGAGTTACCAATTCATCAATTGCCATTGCTGAGTTGAGATATGCCAAGAGCTTACCGTTCCCCGAGTTTTAATATGCAGTCGAGTCTTTGCGTTGACACAACTTACATATATATATATATAGACGTAGAATATCAGATACATTTATAAAAAAGCCAGATAAAAAGAAAATAAAAGGCAAAATTTTCTTGCAGAAGAGTAGAAAAATAAGAATGCATATAAAGATATAAATTAGATTTTCGAACTTAATGGATATTCGAAGATGTTTGCGGAAATGAAACTTAATATCCGAGCTGGAAGTCCGATTCAGGATGATGAAAGAATCTGCAGAATAAAATGGTTAAATTCAGAAATCTGATTCACGGCATCGTATCCTGTTCTTCTAATCTAAATCAGATTTTCGATTCGCAATTTTTATTTTTTTTTTCTGACACTCCACAAGAAATGTATATTCTTGTCCAAGTACTACATATCAAGTATTATCTTTTTTCAAAATATCGAATATAACACACATTATGTGTTATGATATCCCAAAAATGCTTATTTTTACGCTTTACATGAAATTATATTTACATACAATTACCGACACACGACAAAGCTTTTCCGTGTAAAAAGGAAAAACTTCTGACGGTGAAGGGGAGGAAGAAGTAGGAATACGAAAGAAAGCAAGGGCGAAATGAATGGTCGCGATGAATCATTCTCGGTATCAATCTTCAGGAAGGCAACTGGAAAGAAAGTAGATGAAATAGTACCTTTTACGAGAGACAGAGAGAGATGGAGGGGGGAGGGGAGAGGATAGAAGAGACGCAGCTTGTAATTTTATCTCGTGGAAAATTTGGATTCTGCCGACGGCGATTTAAAGATGCGCTTATATCTTCGTTGCAACGACGTTTCGCTTGACATTTGCGTCACATTGCAATTTTATATTTCTCTGAGAAGCCGAAAAAGCACTCTGTGTTTCCACCTAACTCGATTCGCGAGCGGTTTGGATTAACGACGATTAATTGTTCTCAAATACAAATACACAAACGGCCCTTGTACTCGCCACGGCAATTTCGCGTCGATCAATCTCATCTCGCTGAACCCGCTTACACGATTAAGCTGCCAACAGGTGCGCGTTTTGCAACCGTGGCGCGCTATCGTGCTGATTGTAATTCGGTCGATCATTGATAGGACGGAGGGATTTCACAGCGGAGAAGAGCTTGCGAAAAGGGGAAGGTCGCGCCGACTTGGAAAATGAATGATGAATCCGGGGTCCTATTCGTCCGCATTTCCTTTTCTCGCTTTCGCTATTCTCACTTCCATATCCTCTTCTCTTTCGTGCCTTCGCGTCCAGCGCGATGCAGCGAATGTTTGTGTACGTGTACGTGTTTGTGCGTTGTACGTACGTATGCGCGCATTCGTGTTGGAGCAGGTTCGCCGGCGCCTGAAAAGCAGGCAGCCAGGCGGGCGCCGTTGCTCGAAAGGGTTTCGCCTCGTTCCACCGACGAGAACGGCGCGGCGTCTGTCGTCGCCGTTCATCCGCGAGCCGGAGCGGGACAGATAAAACGAGCGAGGGCGGATAATACGGGGCAACGAGCGCACCGAGATACGAAAGCGAGAGAGGAAGAGAGATGGTGCGCGCAGCCGAGAAGGAGGTTGCGCCGTTGGTGTACGCCTCGAAGACCGTATCGTGGCGAGGCAACAGCCTGGAAGACGACACTCCGGCAACGTCCTCGTCCTGGTCTGGATGGAAGGCCGGTCGACTGCTCGGAAAGAAAGAGAGAATGGGGCGTCCCCCCGGTCCCCCGTGCTGTTTTTTGATACCGCGGACCGCGCACAGGGATATGAAAAGCCCCTGGAGGCTAGGCAAAGTACGCGAAACTCGTTAACGCAACAGAGGTAAATACACGAGAGGAGAACGCGGCTGGAAATAAAGAGGTGGATGTGCGTTTCAAAGGGGACTCGTTTGATGTCGACGTGTTTACCGCGAAATAAGCGTGATTACCGTTCAATCGTTCAGCAAAGATTAATACGCGATATCGCTATCGTAAAAATTTTAATTATCGACAGAAATACATTATTGATTAGTAACTGCGGAATACGCGGTCGTTTATTTCTGACTAGGAATTACATGGTCATGAGTTTTGCTATACTTCCTCTGGTATTGCTCTTCTTGTGATAATACGTTATGTTATCTAAATATTAAAAAACGTTTTAAAAATATTTATTCTTTATTTAAGTTGATGAGATTCTCCTTGATCGATTAGACAAACAACGTGCGATCAATTTGCGATCAAATGTCCAATATTTCCAGCTATATAGAAACCTACATACATGTCGCTAACGACATCGCTTTCTGTCGGTTACCGCCATAAGGTAGAAAATAAATTGCATCAGCGGTTATGATAGCGTTCTATTGGTTGGTCGAATCGTTTCGTCGATCAAACTTCGTAGTGCGATATTTCAAAAGTGAGGTAGCATTATGTTACACTCCAATAATACCTCCAACAAATCGATCGATTTATCGCTGGTTTTATTGTCAGTTTCGACATCTGCGAATCGACATCTTACTAATCGCGATACACATTTTCCTCCTTCACTTATTTGAAGAATCGTTTATATCAATACGCGCATACATGTGGAGCTGCTATCGTCATTAGAATTCCGAGGATGTCGGTTTCGATTCCATTAGATAAGTGAAGGCTGAGTGCAATCTTTACCGCGAGTTCCCATGAGGAAATGAGAGGCAAGAAGAAATCGAGCCCGAGTTTCTCCAAGGAAAAGGCCGAGGCGCGACAAGCTCCTCGCGGTAACGGAGTTACATTTATTTGGTCCCCTGAGCAGGAAGGTGATATTTTTCCAAGGGGGAAACTTTCAAACGCCGACGGTGCCTGCTTCTTACCGTAAAAGAGCGGCATTGTGTCCACGCCTCTTGATTCCTCTCTCGTCCGCGTTTCACCTTGGGATATCGCTCTGTCTCTCCTCTCTTTCTTCTTCCTGGCGAGAGTATAAACACTTCGCGACGGCCGGAAGGCAGAAGTTTGGTCTGAACGGTGCCACGAGAGGAGGAGAGTTTGGCAAAAAGGAGGACAGATGGATTTATTTCTCGTCCGTTCCGCGTACACCCCCGATAAGACGAAGGAGACGTATGAGGGCCCGTAAAGCCCGAATGTCCCTCGTAACTTACTGATTGACGAACCGCACTCCGATCTCGGGACTACGAAGCCAGGTTACCGGGAGAACCGGGAGCGGACTCGCAAATTCGCTTGGTTGCTGCAAAATTTCTTCTAGGACACGAAAGGCGCGCTCACTTATTTAACGCACCAGCTTCTCGCAGTCGCGGCACGACCGCGACGTTTCTCTCTGTTCATGGAATACTCGTGGATTAAAACCGTCGCCTTACATGAAGCTTCACATAATGTTTAAACGAAAAATTACACTGTCAGGCCAGCGAATTATGGTAATTCGCAGATGAAAAGAGAATGTTCGGAGAAATTCAACGGAATAAGGCGAGCTGCTGGTTAATATGAAACGGCGTGAATAATTTAACCGCCAAGACCGCGCTTTACCGCCGCAGCTTCCTAAAAATGGGTTCGCCCGTTTGTTTCATTTTGAATAACCGCCTTTCGTGTTTTTCCAGCGACGTAAACACTCTGTATTGAATTTTATGCGGCATTTTATAAAGAAAACGAAGCAAGCGAGATACACAACGGCTTTTCACGATAGACAATTCTTTCTTCCTGAATATCGAAGGAAAAGTAATCATGCGTATATTGAAGTTTAACAAAACAAAGGAAATATAATCTTATACAGAATAATCTACAATTTGCATATATAACGCTACATGTAATCCGAATCTTTGATTGATTGGAAATTTTTCTAATATTTTACTAATTTCTCTAATAATATTTCTATCTGGTTTAATTCTCAATAATTAAATGTTAAATTGAAATTTATTTTCAATAAGAATTATTAAAATGAGACTCATTTGATAAAAAAATTTTGATTATTTTTGCTAAATAAAACTGCTGTATCAAATTCTCGATATCTCATCTTTTATCAAATGTATTTGTAATCACACGTGAGCGATAATGGTATCGCAAAGGCTCGACCGTTACCGGATATTTTTTCATTGCTGATAACAAAAATTCGAAATGCTCTGTATGTGCACACGTTATTCAATGCAGCCCGTTGTTTATCGCAAATTTAATACGCTCACGATACCAGGCTTGAGTCTGCGATCTGAATTCTGTAAATATTATCGTTACGAAGTAATGTGCTTTCGCTCGAGACACGCCAAGGGCCCGATGCTGATGTATGGTTCTGAGAAGCGTGCAGAGTGCAACTGATAATTAACAGTTCATTCGAACGCGCATAACCGCCGCACGAGCTGACGTTGACGGATCGTTCATGACGACGAAATATTCAACGACTAACGAATTAATTTTGTGCATAAATGAGGAAAAGACGTGGCTTGACAATTATGATGAGAATTGCGCATTTGAAACATGATAATTGCGTATTTAAAACGTATTAATTATTACGACCTGCATAATGTGCCTTTATTTCAGTGTCCACAATTTAGCTCGCTTATCACGAATATCCAAGAGAAAGGGAGACAGACAGAGAGAAAGAAAGAGAGAGAGGGGGGAGAGAGACAAATGACAATAAATCTTCTGTTAGGAGCAAACAATTTCGTAATGCGAATATTCTATCCTTTATTTACTGTATTATGCGAATTGCGAGAATCAGGAGCCGTGAATCAATATTTTGATGAGGATATATATTTAGATCTTAACTAACTACAATATCCTATATTATTATATATGCTTCATATTATTAAACCAGATAATATAATTTATAACAATAATATCTCTTTGTAAGAAATAATAGAATTTGTAGATTTTTTAAATAAACATTTTGAACAAACTTTAATATGTTCTGAGATTCTGGAAAACTAGCTAAAAATTCTGCTTTTGGTCACATCTGCCCATTGATTACGCGGTTATCATTTCATTTGTAATATTATCCCATATCTGCCGCATATCATTCTTAGATCTTCTCGCATTTTGGCCCTCGTCTTCGAAGATGCCATAGTGATGCGGCAATGGCCGGACATATATGCATCGGATATAGCTCGATGGCAAGACTTGGGCAGATGGATTCGACGCGGAACGTTACACATTCGCGGCACAGGCGCATTGTGTCGATCCTGATCCGATTACACGGCCCATTGAAGTCAGAAGTGCGATCTTTTAAAAGGGGCTAACGTAATGCGCTTGTTAAACGCCGCGAAGGCCGGACCGGAGTCGAGGATCGATATTTTCTGCGATGTGCGGCGTCCCTGGCTAGCGGCGTAGAAGGATACGCGTTGCCAACACAATCCTCCGCCCTCGCCGGCGTCGGCGTCGGCCAGATAATCTGGCGGAAAGCTCGTTACCCTCGTTGCCGCTCGTATTGCGGAATTACCGTAGTCCTCGAATTTGTACCGCGAGCGAAACCCCTCTCACCCTCGGACACTATACTGAAACCGCTATCTTTACTGGTTGCGGCCGGATGAAATGTACAAAAGCATCTCGAGCCGCATCCTTACGCGCGGTTATCAATAGCTATACCGTGAAAAACTCGCGGCGTAAATCCCCGATGAAGGTTTCCCGCATATCCTACGTTTTCCGATAAAAAGTGCGACTTTCGATATACCATGAAAGCTTGCTCATATACGCTATTTCTGATCATCCCGGTATGGTTTTATATTATAGACAGAAATATTTCTGTGCAAAAATGTCTTTTATGTATTATATATAATACGTATTTTTACATAAATATTAAAAAATTAATTTAAGCGTCAATATTTGAAAAATTAATAAGAATTAATAAAAAATGATTTATTTGAGCAAATAATATTAAAATAACTACCATTAAATAATAATTTAACATAAACAAGTCCTTTTATTTCTATTTTATATTTTATATGCAATTAATATTATATATAATTTTCCCGTTAAAATATCTCGGTTGATACTCGTAATGTTATTCCGGAATTTTTTCAAGTGCACTGAAATAAACAATTCTTTTCAATATTTTTATTAATATTCTCTTTAAATGTTTTTTCAGAATCATTCAATAGCGGATATGGAGTTTGCGGGGAACGACGAAAACCACTTCGAAATCATCGTGTGTTTGCAGACGGAATCTGACGAGGTAGGCAGAGATAAAATATTATACAAACGTCGTAACAATATGATAAAGATGAGAAGCTATATTTTGCGTTGGGCTATCTGCTAAATGCTTTGCTGTCATAATTGGATCTCCCCTTGTACGTTAGCTGCGAACACATTTTCTCGTTTGCAACGCGACGCCGCGGGCGTTGCGGAACACTGGCTTTTCCGTTCTTTACTATAGTTACAATGCAGAATACAGACGATATCTCGACATTCTACATATTCAATTTACCACTTTTAGCATTTTGTATTTTTCCTCCGATATCACCTTTCTTTCAAACGACAATCTCAGTTGACAATTACTCCGTATAGAATTAAAACCGGAATAACTTCGACGTTCAATTTTTAATTTCTTGTATTTTTAACAACGGATTTTGGTTTTAAAAAATTATACCAATTTAAAATAAAAGGATAAATTAAATTATCCACAATTTTCGGTAAACTATTTCATAAGCTATTTATAAATATGCCAGAGAAGAAACAGTTCTTCTCTTTTTAACCAATATCGCATCTGTCATATTAACGAGGAATGCATAATGCTACTAAGGTTAGAAATACTTACACCTACTTTTCTTAGCTTCTTTCGTTCGCCTTTTACTCAAATTAAAGTCCATTTCATCGAATCTGATAGGAGAGTGCAATGGCACACGCGGCCGTGCTCAATTTTAATATACAAATGGAGCCAATATACTCTAAAAGAGATAATTGCATTAGGCCAACTCGATACGGATGCTCATAATTCAAGAACCCATTGCCCATCTATTTAGGACGTCCATGAGCGACGTGGCGACCCTTTATTTAAGTGTACGCCGCCCCTGGCACTCGCCCGTGCTCCTCCATCCGCGACCGATCGAGAACCGTCGAATAAATGATCGACGAAACGGGAGAGGAAATTTATATCTCATTTACTCGATATATACCTTCCCTTAAGTACAAAGTGCGCCTTTCATCTCCCTTTTACTTGCGAACGTTGCCGCGCGCATGTGTGTACATCGATAAACGCGTAAGTGTTATTCGCGCGAAAGAATTTAATGTTGGAGATGCACCTAAATTTTCACGACAAGAGAAATAGTTAGAGAAAGTTTCGCTATTTTATCCGCTTGCTTGAATAGGCTCGTAAATAATTTATGTCGTTTGCATTTAATGTATACTAATTTAACACATTTCGAAGAACTTTCTTTTCTGCAGTATTAAAATCTATCTAACTGATTTCATATCTTTTGCATATCTATATTTCTTGTACCGTCAAAAATTCTTATTTCAAAATTAATTTTATTGATAGAAAGTTAAAAATGAAAGATTTCGTAATGAAATAATAATGTAGTTTTTACATCTCCGAGTACATATATTTTGCTGTCGCCATAATAAGAGACATAACTCCGATAGGCGAAACTTTATATTTGCTTTATAAACATTTTCCTTTTACTCTCGCAGAAATGTTTGCGAATGCAATAGGACAGGATAGAACGCGGAATAATACGGAAAATCTCAATTCCCGACGGAAATTTCTCAAGTGCACTTTGCCACACAATAACGCGTACAAAGTGCAATGAAATCCTCGCCGTTATAGTGTTGCAGTTGAAGTGCAATTGTAGTTTGCACTTTGACCGTGATGAGAGCGGTAATAATAAAAAGCGCAATTTATGTAAAGTATTTACGTATTTTAACAAAGTTTCCATTGTATCGTAACAGAGAGTTTGTTTTCAGTAATGATATTGCATGTGCATGCTGAAGTATAGAAGTTCGGCCAGAGTAATGTTTACTAAATAAAAATACTAAATAAAGTAGTTCTATGTTACAAAATTATATGACAAATATTTACAAAACCAGATATGGTAGAAAATAAATTTTTATTTTTATTTATTTTTATTTTTATTTATTTTTTTATCGTACATATTCAGCATTGAAAAAATTTATTAAAAAACTTTTCTATTTTTTCTCTATAGAATATTACGTTATATTTTTTTCTCTATTATAAAAAAAAGATCATATCCACGATTGTTCGACAAATATAGACTGAAAGGATCAAGTTAAGCGCATTTAAAAACGGTCGGTAACAAATTTGTCTCTCATTAAAACTCCCATCCCTCTTGTCATTCATGTTACGAGTGGCAGTAGTACTTTTATCCGTTTACGAAGCATGAAAACCCTCCGACGATCTCTTTAACACCGTCAGGCTGGCCTGACTGGCTTGAATCCCGTTTCGGGCCGAGCGGGTGGCGCAAAAAGCGCCCCGTCGCGTATTTTCCACGGCGATCTCTCGCAGGAGTTTGGGTATCCTGGCAACCGGCGACCCGCAGCCGGCTGGATCACCTCCAAGGACAACGATCTGGGTTAACGTCGTCGAATTCGTGCCGACGCCACCGCCGCGCGCCGTTCCGTATTTCTGAGACACGCCTGACGAATTGGCTTTGAAGCTTACACCGTTGCCAGCGAATCGATTCACCCGTTTGTGGCGATGTTACCGTAAAGGGATATCCCGAAGGAGATAAAGCCCGGGGAAATAAAGCGAATAAAGAGCTGTGAGCGCGTTGCAAATTTTTCGGGTCGGGTCGATGTATGCGTCGATCGTGCGGGCGGGCGAAACGTTATTGCGCGGCGGTTCGCAACCCTTCCGCTACTCCCGGGACGACGACGTGGCGTGCGGTACATTGCAAATAGGATGCAACGTCTTACGACGTCTTACAACGTCTAGAAAATGTATACGAACGTGCCAGTCGCGTTTACATATACTTTTCAGGAAGAACGCTTGAAAGACTTTTACTATATAGAAAGGCAACATTCAAGTTGAGCTATGAAATTAATCTTCGATTACTGTAGCAAATTGCAACGTCGCGACGTCGGCACTGATATTTCGTATATTGCTAGCACATTAGTTAGAAACTATGGAATACTCTGTCGCGAATACGCGCGAATTATAGATTGCGTGGAACGAGTTTTGAGTCATTATGTACCAAGGATATCGAATTATTGCGCGAAACTGCAAAGTGGCTGCGCTTAACTACATGTTAAGGCGTAGACGGAGGAGGGTACGAAACCACTGACCTTTCGCTGCTACAGCTCGCACGTAACAACTATATTTTTAACGCCGCTCCCGGCAGGCCGCCCCACGTATTTCGCATTAGAGCGAACTTTGCACTTTAATAAACCATTATATCGTCATTGTTCGGAAATGTTTTCAACGTTTCTCGTAATTGATCTGAAAATGATCGATCTCATCGCCTCAGTCGATTCATGTATTAGCCCCCAACGTGCGACGAGCGCGTGTATTACGAGATTTCAGACCGTTATCTTTCGACCCAGATATGTATACGTACCTCTGTCAGGCGAGTGCATTCATGTCGACGGGGTCACTGCAAATGTAGCGTAAGCGGAAACATCGATGCCATAAGGTCTGGCGCGTTAACAGTGCCCACGTCCGTGCGGTATGCGCTTAGGTGGACGAGACCACCCGGTATATTTATTATATTTGTTCAAGGCCGATGCGCTTAATGCCGTGCCTGCGTAATGATTCATATAATACGCGGCAATATGCTACAGTATTGTCTGGACAGATTGAAAGTAGGATCAAAGGGGCGGAATGAGGTGGAGGGTTGGAGGCATAAAAGCACCATGGGTGGATCACGAAGCGGAATTATGGTGCGTTCAACCTGCGAAAGGGTAAATTCGACAGATGCAGCCAAGATATCGATTAGGCGGGACAGCCTGCCGCGCGTTATGGCTACGCCGTTATCAAAGCTTTTTTTAAGCAACAATACTTTCCGTATTTTATTCTACAAAACTTTCACGGATATCTTTAACTTTCGGGACATCGTCGTCACGCGTAATAAAACAGCTGTGCCTGTGCACGGTTGACGGCTTGAAGAGAAAGATTTGAATGACACGTTTGGAAAGTTCATGGATGCCTGTCATTGAATTGCGATCGATGTAAAAGTTGAACGGAAACGTTTTTTACGCGCGGTATTACGTAGCTTTGCGTATAATTGGAAACACTCGATAGCTCTTTAACGCTTCGAAAGGGTCAAGTGATCGTTGAATAATGGAATAACGATCATTGAGATGTGTCCTCTCCGCTCGCTCGTATAGCATCCGCATACGTTACCGGTGTTCATTTGCTATTGAAAGCCGCATACGTTATTGTGCGTATGTGTGTCATGTTGTTAAACGGCAATGGCTTTTCAATGTATGTTTTTAAATGCATTATCATAAAACGAGCGAACATACATCACTTCGAGGTCCGCATACATAAACAGGGCAAGAAAAGAATAAAAAAGGGAATATTAATTATTGTGATTTTTCTTGTCAAAAATATTTTCGAAAGTTTATTCAAATTGTGTCTATTATTAAGTTTAACTAATATTTATTTGTTTTTGTATTGCTTGCTAAAAAAATTTTCCTATAAAAATAGTTACAAAATATTAGAAAATCTCTCGGTTTAATCAAACTTTTCCAAGAGTTTCTCATACCTATCAAAAGTCTAGCGCATTACTGCATTTTCTGTGCCTACAGTACGTAGATATCCATCATATTCATGACACTGGCTTCCATGTTATCTTACTCAAACGTGAGGAGAGTACGAGGGTATCGCATAATATTGTAAGAACCTATAAGTATATAAGTATATAAGTATATCCCTTATATATTGAATAAGAGGACAAAGTGCGAAATGCGATAAAATGATAAAAATACATCAGGAAAAAAGCGGGAGACAACGACCGAACAACGGAAAATTTGATGAAGAGAGGTAGAATGTGTGGGGATGTTTCATGTAGTGAAAAATGTCATTATATATTTTTTGATATTTTGTTTTTAACGCATCGAAAGTATATAAATATAAAATTATCTCGCGAAAAGAAGCTTGCAAAAATTTTATGTTAATATTTTAGTATCATTACATTAAAATATTCCAATATTGATATTAGAACTGTTGGAAAAAGCGTCAACATTCGTGATATATATGGAAATTGCGGTGTCGTTATA